TTGAGGACATGTGACCCCTTTACGAATCGACTGTTAGTATCAATTCAATGTGCGCCAACCATAAACACTGAGTAATTTGCCACGTGAAATAAAACTGCACAGTATCAAACCGTTCACATGATCAAAATCTGTAAATATATGTCTTACTGCATTTGATGCCACAGCGCCCAGACTTCCTGTATTTCTTGTACTTATAAGGAAGGGTGTAGGTTTCCCACGTATAGCACTTGCCCTTGTCCACAGCTCTCTTGTAACAGTTGTCATGATCAACGCAGCATCTGTCGAGGAATGCATCATGTAAAGTGTATGGGGTAACTTTAGTATACCGAATTAAAGGCCAACTCATACGATAGGCGAATGTGAAAGCCAAGTGGAATTGAAGTGACGTGAGAGCTTTGCAGCGAACTTTTGCGAACTCAAAAACGCGAATTAGCGACGTAAAATCAATATTCGCGCTGAAAAAATTCGGATACGACGTTTAAACTATACAGCCAAATTTGGCTGCAAAGCTTTTGTGATTTAAGATAATATGCTTTGCTTTTACATTCGCCTTAACAATATGAAACAGTCTTTATTATTGCGCTTAGTTGCTGACAATGATTCTGTGCAAGATCAATTGAGACGATTTTTCCAAGCACTATCAATGCTCTTATTGTATACGTGTTCGTGAATTCTGTGTACCCATTTATTGGGATTTCGGTAACTAGTCAAAATTATCCGAAAAAAGGAAAAAATATAATAGGACAGAAGGTCTGAGATCCCACTGGGACCCAAGTCCTTAGAAAAAAAATGGTTGAAAATAAAGAGAAAAATTATTCGGCTTTGAATTAATTTAATTGTCATTTTTGAGCATGGTATGTTCATACAGTTTAACACTTTGATTAACAGCATTGTCGTCATTATGATCCACTAAATCGATGGCAAGTTTTTACAGTACAAGGAAATAAAGCTGTGTTACCGGTATTAAATTTAACCTGGGTTATAATAGAAGAATGGTAGCGGGTAAGGTTTCTAGGTTTCAGTAACGTGCAGAGTGCACACATCCTAGTGACTGCACAGTACAGCGTTTATTGTAGAGATTCCGGATTTATTCGTTTCTTTACTACGATTTGCGAGGAAATGATTTATACCGTTTTAACTCTTATATAATATAAACAATTATCAACTGCAGAGATAAAGGACGGAATTATTTGAAATGCATACTGTACCTCTGATTAACCGGACAAGCTCAAATTGTAGCATTTCGAATTATAGCGAGAAAAGTGCAATATTTTACATCACTACTGTTAGTAAACCCACACAAAATAATACAACAAGATCGGCCCAGAAATAATTTGTTCAAAATTTAATGGATTGCAGGCTTCCTATTCCATTTTCGTTTGAAGTTAGAAAAAAATTTTGCTACCACTGAATCTACTTGCAAATCAAGTTACGTTTTCTGCAAATTCAACTTAATGATCGCCATACTAACCTGTCAGTGTCGTCTAGCGGTGTGCCACTCCCTCCAAGGCCACAGTGACAGCCGTAGCCGTTGTACTCCCAAGCCTGTGACAAGGAGAGATCTCCTAGGCACATAACGAATTTGCCGAACTGATACACGTTCCTAATTTCTCCTGTTGTTGCAGTGCCTGTCATAACAAGTGGACGAAAAACGCATTAACTGAGAAATCAAGCTTCTTCACCAACGATTTTGTAAAACCGGTTTTGTTGAACGAATTGTAATATAAAAGGCATTGAACGACAATCGTACGGAATGAGTTTATGGGTACCACGTGGTTCAGGACAAAATGATGACTACAAAAACAAAAACGAACAAAAATTCATTTCTTCATCAGTCTAACGTTGACGGTGAAGTTCATGCTTCCACATTAACCCCCCAAAGTTCAGATTTACCGCGGATACCGGTCCTTTGTTGAGGCCTGACCCTTTTTGTTGGGGGAGGTCATAAAATCGCCTTTTTCTGGTCCAACAAAACTCTGCCTTTGGTCATGTTTACCCTTTGACGGGTGATTTTGGCCAGGAAGAAAGATTCAAACCCTTCGTGACACGCATTCTCGGTCAATCTGGTCTGAGAATTCTTAGAAATTCATGCACTCTTGAAGGTGTAATTACGCCGTCCTATGTTTTTGAAAGAAATCACGGAGAGATGAAAAAAAGGTTCAACTTACTCGTTAGCGAAACTGCCATCGCCAGGAGAAGAAAAGTCTTCATGGTGAAGATTAGAGGAAGCCAGGTCAGTGCAGGTACAAGGCCGATGTTTGGATGCCAAAGGCTGAAAAGGACCCGTCCGCTCCTGGAAACTTGCTTCCTGTCTCATGGAAACGATTGGAGTCAGTGGTTAACCCCTAGTAGTGACTACAGTATTTACATACTTTCACATACCGTTATTCTCTTCCAATTTTTAGCCATTGAAGTGACCGTAAAACAAACCAATTTCTATACAATAAAAACTCTCAAAAACACATATACCAGCAGCAGTAAGAACTTTCGCACGAAACGAAAATAGCATGGACTTATTCAACGTAAACTGGATTGATTTCGATCAGTTTTAATCTGAAATTTAATTCCGGCCTAAGCTTTTTAACCCTCAATTCTTTTCATAGAAAACAAGGATGCAATATAGGTTAACGGCTAATGGAATTTTGTTGAGCTAAATTCTAAGAAGATGCGTCCAATTACAAAAACAGTCAACTTTACTGCTGTAATTATCGGAAGTTTCCAATTTCGGGGGCGGACCGGATAAATAGGGCATAAAAGCGGGTAGACTTTGATAAATATACGACAGTGAAGAAAACAACGTTATTTTGTTTACAACTGATGCAGCAAAAAAGCAGTGCAGTTCGTTGGAATTTTCATCCAAAACACGGATCTCTCTGTAAAAGACCTTTTAATTCAGTACGATAAAAGTATAATATCCATTCGATGCATAGGCCTAATATTTGAAAATTGAAAACAAAAATAATGCAGAACTTTGTCAAAGATTTGTATAAGCTCTGGAACGACTGGATGAAAATTGAAAACACATCCTATGTCTTCAAGAAGTGCAGAAAATATACAGTGTAAAAAAGGAAACTATTACAAGAAACGTTTTATTAAACAGACACTTTTTAACTAAAGAAACCTTTCCCTTTGTTAGAAGTACTACCAACGATGCCATCTTTTTGATTGATTTTGTCATGATTTTTCACCGTCTGATTTGTAATAGTGCATATTTGTTTTGCTACCCTAGGGTGAGATGAGGGCGCTGTAAGTAGCTGGGAAAGAGGATTTAAAATTATTCGGCCAACATTTATGATATTGAAAAACCAAATGTGATGATGGTTGTAATTTGCAGTTATACTGGTGGTTATGGTCTTTACTTCCAGTGTAACACGCTTTCCCCCTAATCGTCACCACGCAGGCAACGCTATTGGGAACTCAATGTTTTGCACTTGTTGGCTTTTTCGCAATTTTCAGGATTTTTTTGGGGGGGTCTTCTTTTTGGGCCCAAAGCCCGTAGACTTTGCACACGTTTTTTCTGTGCAGGACTTTTGCCATTAATCTTTGTCACAAAGCATTCCAAGTTTGCACAGGCATAGTCATTATTGCATATACGTATACCGAAACATGACGTCATGATGACGTCATCAAGTGATTTATTATTGATTTTTTAAATATTTATTTAGCCCATTCACTTTGTACACGTTTTTGAGGCACTATTTCGGTACTTTAATAATCGTTGATCGTCGTCAAAGCTACAGCATGCACTGACTATAAAACGAAGATAATACTGAAATATTTATGTCATGATGACGTCATCAAGTGATTTATTATTAAATATTGAATATTTAAATTATCCGTTAAATTTATGAAAATCCATACAAAATCAACCGTGACTTACCGCAACATTCTGTTTGCAGCAAGTAGCAGGGTAAAATGTGGTCTTGAATTCATCTCGTGTGGGTCATATCACGTGACCCTTCCGGAATTGGTCTATTATTTAAATATGGTAATAGGTATCAAGTTGTTTTCAACTGTGTTAGTATGTCGGGGTAATGTATTCTTCAGATCATCTACTGATGACATCACCTAATTATCAAGCCCCCTCTAGCGACAGGCTAAAAATTAAAAAAAAAAAAGATTTTTGAATAGATGACCGTGGCGAAGTTTGTCCAAATCGCCTGAAAATTGGTGTAGATGATCATCTTTACCCTGTCAACACGTGTGTGAAGTTTGGGGCTGATGACGTTATCAGACCGGAAGTTACAATTAAAACTTCTTTTATTCTTCAAAATTCGGTAAAGAAATCAACCGTAAGACATATAAGCGTGATTTGTGCATGAGATGACAGCCAAAACATTGAAGTCAGCAGCATGAAATGCATAACTGGTACACCTTTCCACACACGTGAAGTGCCGTCGACAAAAACCCCTAAAATATAAATTGCCAACTCGAAAATCCAATTTGCATGCTGTGCATATGCTACTGTGTGGACGCCCAATATCTGCCTGCAGCATAGGCGGCGCACAGTGCGTAGGGCATATACTGGGGACTTGGAAAATGCCAACCTGTTGCTGCCGACAGCAGATTGCATTGTACTGGAACGTATTGTTGTATTATTTATTGTATTGTACATATCTTATTGGGTTGAAACCTTGCAGGTAGTTAGGAAGGGAAGGTTTACAAATGAAAATTGACCTCACGTGATTACAATACCAACAGCAGACGAGTCACGTGACATTAAATGGTGCCTCAATTAAAATACTATATCTCCTGAAGTGCATATCCAATTTCGTTCAAATCATGCAGATATCTTGAAAGGGAGTGCTTTACAGGAATTTCGACGTTATGTGATAATGACGTCATCAGGAGACAAGTCAACAACAACAACAACATTTATTTCCATAACGCCATATAGAAAAATAATATAAATTAATTATCAGAAGATAAATTTAGAAAAATATTACTATCATATACACACAGAGAAAAATAATTATCAGGAGATATATTTAGAACAATATTACTAGTACATACACACAGAGGAAACTTGAGAGGGATATATACATAGATGGAATGAAGATAGCAATATGGGGCATCTTAAGAAGCTGGAAGCTATATCTATCTATCTATATATAAGATGCCCTGACAAAACAAAACGAGATCAATCGACAAACTAATACATTGACAGAAAAACACTCGGACTAAGACATACACGTGGGATGAATGTTAAAACAAAACGATGAATACATTAAATGTTAACAAAACAAAGATTGGTGATATCGTAAATCAAAGCAAGAGCAAGAGAAGCGCTATGTAAAATAAGAAATGGAAAAAGACAGCTAATTAATTACAAAGGAAAAAGAAAACAACAAACTTTCAGTTAAATTAGGTTGCATGTTTTGCAGGTTATGGTCAAGTGTATGAATATGAACATTCTGAAACATTTTGAGCTGTGCCAACAAAGCACTTTCCTTCACACAAAAAGGCGAAAAGCCCCGTATTCTGTCCTTGAGACAGACGCAATTCCTCTAGTTTTTGTTTTTTCTTCTGCTCAAAAGCCCGTTTCTTTTGTACACTTTTTGTCACCGCCACTTCAGTGCTTTTGCAACTTTGGATATTCATCAAACTAATACCAATGAAGAATCCTTTTGCATAAATGGTCATGATGACGCCATCAGGTGATTTAGTATTGATTTTTACAGTTATATAAGCCCATTGACTTTGTACACGTTTTCAAGGCACAATTTGGGTTACTTTGCGATCCTCAATCGTCATCAAAGTTACAGCCCGTGAAGACTAAGATTAAAAATGAATGCTTAATTTATGACGTCACGGTGACGTCATTGCCTTATTTTTCAATGGATTTTTGAATTTTTTATTTTCCCTGCATGTTTTGTACACGTGTTTCTAATTAACAAAAGTGAACGAGTAATCCTTTACTTCGGCTCAAGATTACTACAAGAACGAAAGAGAAACCGGGTACTTTACAGTGCGTTATTAATTAACATGATTTGAAATATGCCTAAGAGTCCAAATGTGAAGTAATATTTCATAAAAAGTTGTTGAGTTTAAGCACAAATCACGCGACTTAAACTTAAAGGAGCAGTGTTTCAGCAAATGAGTTTATGGCCCATTGATTTTGTATGTGTTTTTGGACGACAATTTTGGTAACTTCAAGATGTTTGATCGTTGCCAAAGTGTGGGCAAACAAAAACCCTGATACAAGATTTACTGCAAATGGATGACGTTATGATGACGGCATCACTTTTTATATTAGTTTTTGAATATTTAATTGTTCCCCATAGGTTTGTACACGTTTTTTCTAATTAACACTAGTGAACGAGTAGTTCTTACTTCGGCTCATGATTACTACAAGAACGAAAGAGTAATCGGGTACTTTACGCTGTGTCATTCGATCTGAAATATACCTAAAAGTCTGAATTTGAAATAATATTTCCTAACATTTGTTCAGTTTAAGAGCAAATCACGTGACATGGACTTAAAGGAACAGTGTTTCTGCAAACAACTTTACGGCCAATTGACTTTGTACAAGTTTTTAAGCCACAATTTTGGTAACTTCGTAATAGTTGATCGCTGACATCGCTGATTTGAAAGGGGGGGGGGGCTTGCCACGCGCCAGCCAAACCATACCACCACCACAACGGCCCAACAAAAATAACACTTCAAAGACAGCCGAAAGAGGCCTCTGACAAGTTCCAGACAGCTGTCACTGATAAAGAACATTCCACTGCCTGCCCCAAACACCGTTTTGTAAACAACCCATTAGAATGTGCACAAAGGAACAATTTAGCACACAATCCTACGGGAATTGCCTGGAGGCTGGCTCAAGGCCGTCTGGATTTTTTTTGCATTTTTTTCTTGCTAGGGGAGGCCGTGGCTGTAAAATGACTAAAGCAGGTTTTTCAGCATGTTCGGGGGTAGGATATGATAAGTAGTCGTGGAATTTGGACTTAAAAAGAAATTAAATGTTAATTAGCTCCAATGGACTCGCCAAAAGAGGCCGCTCCCTCTACCGAGGGGTAACTTCCAAATCAAGTAAAAGAAAACTAGTTTTATTTCTAAATAAATTAAAAAAGTTCTGTTCCTATTTAGAGAGATTATTTGTTGAAGTATTGTAGTGTGAAAAGATGATGGTACTTTCCCATTCACTGACGATTCGTCTCTGGTGACTTGCAATAACTCCTGGTTGGAGTATGTAAAAAACTGCCCTTTTATGTCCGAGAATTTGATTATGAGCGAAGATAAGAATTTTACCAATTGTTCAATTTATTTGTTGGTTGACTGGTGCGAGTAGAGGACTGTTTTTCAAATCCTCAAGGTAACAATAGCATGCTTTCGTTCCTTCGTATGGGACTCATCAGTTGCATTATGGGTGATTCCAGAGACGCAATCGTACGAACTCACAGGTGGTTGGGGACAGAGTTTGTGTGCCAAAAATACGCATTTATTGTTGTTATAGCCAGCCCGTGGATTTCGGTTTGTTTTTCAGCGAGGGAGAGCAGTACATTGAGTGTTGCGTTTTGTTTTGGCCGTTCAAAGAAGCCCGAGCCTGTGGGGATTGGGTTGGGCTCTGTTATGTTCAGTGGTAGTTAAGCTCTCACTAGTTTTTCTAGGATGTTTGGGCTTTCCTGAAAGCAATGAATGGAGGTTTCGGAAGGATTTCCGAGGATATAGCATTGCTTTGAATAATGTGCCCATGTCTATTTATTGTTTGATATGGATCACAGTGGAAAACATCTGGTTGGGTTGTAGGTGGTAACGAAGACTGGTTTGATATGGTTTGTGCGGTTCGCTGTATCCTTTGTATTATTTATTAGCTTTAGTGTTTGGCATGAATTTGGTGGCTTCCAAGTGTTCTTCTAGTGTTGCACTACGTGTTGATTTTGGATGCTGGGCTTATGGAAGTTTGAAAGGATGGATTTTAGATCTTTTTTGTGCATTTGGAATGCAATACTTAGTCTTCGATTGGTGCGGTTTGGTTTAGTGGGGTTGGGTATAAAGTTGAAACCTTTGCCTCAAGTGGTCTTTTCGGTTTGTGTTAGTGCCGCTTCGGATAGGTCGGTCATACATGTGTCATATTGTTCCGCTAATAAATGTACCCGGTTGGATTTGGTAGTCTTGGCTTTTGTGCATGTTGTAAAGAAACTGTTCTTTTTCCGTTGAATGCGTCTTCTCTTCATTGTTTATGTAGCCCAATGTGCTGTGTTAGTGCGCCCTCCTGCGATATTACAATAGCCATGCATTGCACTTCACATTAACGCGTACAATGACCGCCATGTTCCTGATGTTTTGCGACAGTTCTGACAAAAATATACAAATACTGATCCCAAATCAGCATGTGTTATAATGGCGTAATCTTCAATTTATCCAGCAAACTATATTGATTCTTTTCATGTGATCATTGGCTCTAAGGTGAGTTTATAATTATTAGAAAATATGATTAAAAATACCTTCCTGGGAAGCCAATTGGTCTGAGTGTGTTATAGTTCCGGGGGCTAACGTAAAGCATATCTTCCAATGCATATCGGGACCATGTGTACATGAAAGAGGCTTAGCCAAAACATGACAAACATATATAAAGCTTTGTAATTGTTAAGCGATTTGGCCTATATAGATTGATAAGGGTTTTTTGGTACAGTAGTTGGATGACATGTTGCACGAGTTATTCTTGTTCATGTTATAAGTGTGTTCTTTAAGTGTATTTTAAGGAGAGATGTCATGTCAATCCCCACTGAGAAAGATTTAAGGGTCATGCATACATATTAAGGAGTCACTGACCATGATGCATGTGAAAAGGCATGGCTATGTGTTTATAGCTGTTACTTAGTTGGTCCTTCTAAATTGCAGGTGTACTGCTAGTTTCATAATTTCAGTACATGTGTATGTAATGTCACTACATATAATATGTTGATCTATTGGAGTATAATTACTTCATCAGTTTGTTGATCTTTGGGAAGAGGGCATGTGTATATCATTACATGTACATGGATACAGTGTATGTTTTATTTGGCCCTCAGCCCCAGGCTTTTCAACTTTTACCTCCCGGTAGACGTCACTGCTGTTGGTGTGTGCTGCGTCCAGCTTTGGATTTCACCAGTGAGGCAGCGCATCCAGCCTGAGTGGTGACTGTTGATGTACCGTGCCAAAACTACATATGCATGTGCAAGCACTGCTTGTACAGTATGTACATGCACACAGTGGACTGTTCTTTGTATACTCAGCAACTGCCAGACAGGTGTGGACGGTCTGAGGTTCTGTATTGGCTGCTCCTTGCTAGAGGGAGGCTCCACCCCATGCAGTGGAAATGAACCAGTGAACTGAACATAACTGAAAAACTGATTCAGATTGAAAACAGGGTTCTGATTGCAGTTGATGCCAGGTATCTCATGTAAATTTTTTACCATATGATCGTATCCTTTTTGGGTTGAGCTCAATAGCATTTACTTGATGTAAGTTGTGTTGTTGTAATTAAAAGAACAAAAAAAGGGGGCAGAGTCTATTTAGCTTTCATTTAGTTTTCTCATGGTCACTGCTTTGACTTTGTTTGGGAGTGAAAAGGAATATTGTTCATGGGTATGTGGTTGTATTCCTCAATTAAGACATGTGAAATGATAGTAAGGAACACATCAGGGTTTTCTTTGTGATATTCCTCAATTTAAATTATGTATGGTAGGAGTGGCTGGAAATATCTCTTTGGAGGATGTGATGGTCTTCAGAATTTTTGGTAAGGGTGCTTCCTCTATCTTCACTCCTCTTGACGAGTGGAGTAATCGAATAGGTTTCGCCGTTCGTTAATATAGTTTCCTCGACCGTTCGAAGAATGAAGAATGGGGCTAAGGTGGACGTACCCAAATCTCAACGTAGTTTGGCGGTGTTTTGGTCGCGATTGCCTTTGATAGGAGATGTGTTTGTTGGGTGGTGTGGTTCTTGACAGAGACCAGCCGGTTCGGACTTTTTATGCCAGATTCTTTACCCATTGGACGTGTCAGTTATGCGGTGAAAGACTCGTTCTGTGTTGATAGGTGTTTCCGGGGAGGGCTGGTCCAGTGAATGAAGAATAGAATCTTGGTCACTGGAGGCGTGTTGGCGTTGTTTGTTGCTATCCACAGATGATGTTTGAACCAGAGCTGGGTGAAGATGGTGGTGTCAAACGGCTGACCTTGTTCTTGTTCGACGATTTACTAAGTTTAGACATTTTGTCCGCTCAATTTCTGTCATAGAAGTGGGACATACCTCAAATCAAAATGGATTTTAAATTTTAATTTTTTTCATCCCACCAAGTGAATATTCAAAGTTTTTCAAATTACGTTTTGTTCATAATTTCTCTTTATTTAATTTTGATTTACAACTGTTATTGGACCTGAGAAATGGGTTTGATGAGAATGAGATTTTCCGCCATAACACCGTACACCAGGTTTCAAGCTCAGCGACATCCGGCGCCCCCTACTAGCACCGAAGCAGACACCCACTCCCTGGCAGCAGGGTCCTCTATACCCGAAACCGATGCCCCATACCCAGGTGTTAGGGTCTTCTCTACCCGAAGCCGAAAAGGCGTTAGGGTCTTCTCTACCCGAACCCGCGGATCCTGTTCCACGCTCCACCGCTTCCGGACTACCTTTATAATCAGCTATCCACTCCAGTCCGGCACACTCTCCTGAGGACAGCCAGAGCACACAGTTCCACGCTCCACCGCTTCCGGATTACCTTTATAACCAGCTATCCACTCCAGTCCGGCACACTCTCCTGAGAACAGCCAGAGCACACTGGCCGAAACGTCAAATTTATACTTACCGGTTCTTTTAAGAATCACACCTCGTCCAAAAGAGATTGATTCCATGGTGTACCCGCAAACCCATTTCTCATGTTTCACCCACCATGCAAAGCTTCAAATCTTACTTGTTATTGGACCACAATTTTCATTTGAAACTAGTCAGAATTATCTCACCATTCACATACATTTCCCAATTACTCACGAGGTACATTCTGGTCCGAAAGGAAGAGGCACTGCTTTTTTCAAATCTGCTACTTGGGAGCCATACTGGAAGCCATTTTCAATGTGATCAATGGTAGGAAAACAAAGGATGCAAACAACAAATAAGGATGGAAAACATGCACCAAATTCTTTAATGTGTGTTAAATGGATAACTTACCACAATTATGGCTGAAATTTATGGATTTATCATTGGCGTCCATGTTGGTGATCCTTACATTCCCTATCTTGAATGTGAAGCATAGTGGCAAACGAAGATCACCAAAAATCAGTTTTTGAGAGCACAGAACATGTAAATAAAAATTTATTTGTGATTCTGGGTATAACTTGCTGATATAAGGCCTTTCCCATTTTGGACCATGTTTGGGGTCCATTTTGGCAGCCATCTTGGATATCCTCAGAGTATTGTTTTTTTTCCAATGTTAACATCTAAGAGGTGGTACAGGACCTTAAAATGCACCTAAGAATATTGATGTCGTTAAGTTGAGGGGGGTGCACGGGGCCCCCATACGTAATCAATTACAATGTCTGATGCTGTGATTTTATCAATGGTTGGCATTGTGCTGGTGTCAAAGTGGCAGGAGGGCTGTCATTAATAAGGAACCTAAGGTACCCAATAAGGCATCTGCACCGACAGGCAAACGATCAAGGTCATTTTAAAAAGTACTCGTCCTGGTTATAGACTGAAAACGATAAATTATTGATCTGAATGTGACAAACAGTCTCGCTCAAATGGCTCACCTACATCACCCTGTGAAACTTCATCATGAAAAAGTATGTGTCATATACCCAATAGGGAATTATGTGGACATTAGCTATCGGCAAAGGGCCGATGTCAAATTTGTCCATATCAAGAAGCAAAATAATGAGCAAATAAAAAACCACTGGCGATTACTTTTGTTTGAACATCCATGGACCTGTTCAGTGGCTGCTCTTACGAAATGTGCACAAGAAACTTGATTTGCCACATTAATTTAACCGATTAACCACTGCTTCCGGCACATTAACAAAATCTAATACTCAACTCTTTGGTGCGCAATATAACTCTATTTTATTCTTACGTTACATTCACGTCTTATTTGAACAGCTCTTGATCAAACCCATGTAATTCATTATCATCCTTGTGTATGAGTGGCCTGGCTTTTATTTTTTTCCGAATAGATATGAAACCCATACGGAAAGGGGCACGTCACTTCCGGATCACTTCAGTTTCTCCTTTCCCAAATATTCCTGGCTCACTTTGAAGCAGAAAACGCCATTACAATGTTTGATATGTTAGATGCAAGCCTGATGGCTGCATTTTTTAAAAATTGGTTTCAGATATTTTTCGAACCCACGAGATGCACCAACGTTCAGAAAAAAAATTTCAATTGAGCTTCAGTTTGTCGAGAAAACAGAATTGAGCGTAGAATTACTGAGACATATTTTTCTTGATATCATTGCGTGTCCTCTATATACCCTTGCGTCTGTAAAATTGTTACTACGTTCAAAAGTCTTGAAACTGTGGTAATCCAAATGAAAGTTTCAACACTTCAAGAATGCGTGCAAATCAACTAACACTTGTCCTTGGTGTAGCCGATGAGACTTCGGTTGAAGGTAGACCGCTTGTCGGCAAAGCACTGCGCTCCGATGCGGTCGCATTCACATATGAAGGCTTTGCATTTCTTTCTTATGGTGTACCACCAGTAGTCGGATTCTTTCTCTGTAACATAACAAAAGTGAATATTAGCATCTGGACAAGTTAGACAGTTACTCTGTCCCGTTTGCACTTTTGTGAATATGTCTGGAACTAGCCCCACACGTAGGGCTGTGAATGGCTCTCTGTTGACATTTCTATTTTACACTGTTGCAGTCACAGCCACACTTCAATGTAGGACGTTTACGCCTGAAATATAAATGGCCAGAGAGAGCCATTAACGGCCTTACATGTGGGTATAAAGACAAAGCTCAAAATATAGGTTTTGTCTGTCTTAAGGAAAGAGCAAAGGGCTTTTCGCATTTTCCATTAAATGTATTAAGAAAACTAATTGTATATTTGAGATTCTAGCTCATTTCCATTTCTCACATTTTGCTAAAAGATCAACCCCAGAGCTACAAATATTGACAACAAATAATTCTAGCATTCGTTGAGGTCATAATGACGAAATCGAGAAACCCTGTTGGACCTAAGAAGGTATAGAGAATAAAACCCTTTACACCACTTCACTTTGTCTGAACACTTCCATTTCCCGCTACCTACCAAATTTCAACCCAATGGGACATGTACATTACAAGATATAGGGCTCTAAGAAATGTACTTTTAAATACGTACAAAAATTCAATGATAAATCACTTAATGACGTAATGATGACGTCATTTTTACACAAGGGTTTCTTCATTGATGGAAGTTTGATGAAGATCCGAAGTTGCAAAGGGGACTTGAGTCGATGGTGGGAGAAACGTGTGCAAAACAAAGGGGATTTGGGTCAGAAGAAGAGGAAGATGAAGAAAAAAGAGGTCATCGGTCTGTTGTCCAAAACAACAGAGGGCTTTTTCGCATCCTTTAGTTAATTTGAAAAACGAATCTACTGCACAAATCTGAGGGCATGAATATTTTATCATGACCATTTGGGTCCAAGGTTTCAACCCAATCAGGCATGTACTCCAGGAAATAACATGATTTAAAGAGTGCGTGCACAATATAATTTAACTCTTCGTCTGATGACGTAATCATCACACCAGGTACATCTTTGACTACAACGCTTCTTTGTACTTCAGGAGATAGAGGGCTTTAAACAGTGAAGTTTTTAGGGTCGCATGACTTATCACCTGATAAAGTCATTATCACATGAGGTCCATATTTGAATAAAGCACGTCCTTTCCAAGATATCAGCAAGGTTTCAACAAAATCAGACATACACCTCAAAAGATATAGCACTTGGAAGAATCACCTTTAATGTCACGTGACTTGTCACAAGATGACGTCATCATAACATCAAGTCAATTTTTTTACTTTGATATCATGCATACAGGTGTTCTTGTACACCAAAGAAAAGTGAATTCGCACACTAATGAAGATTGCACAAATTCAAGTCAAGTCAAGTACTCTTCCTTGTCATATTCTGGGCATCAAACACTCTGTGGAATACCATTTCACGCCCAGAACAGAAAGCTTGGAAGCACACGGAGGGTGCTATCAAGGATCCAAGGTCTGACTTAAATGTGTCATAGGTCTTGTTATGTATAAACAGGAGTGAGGGATCATCCAACAGGGCATTGGGTCTTAGCAGAACATTTCTGCCTGACACCTCCAAGATTTCTGCATCCTTCAGAATAGGGCAATACAAGTGGCAGGTCTCATGAAAAATCCGGTAGTTACTTTAATTACAGATTTGTTTGTATGCTAATGGTATACTACCCCTATTTGATTTAATGTTTTTGACATTGTAAACCTGCAAGGTTTTTTGTGAATTTTGGGTTGAAATGGTTTAACTACTTAAGACTGAACAAACACACTTGTATTTAAAAATTCACACAATCTGCTTTATGTCCTGAAGTGATGTTGTTCAATTTCTGACAAACAGCAGAAAATGTACTTCCAAATTGCCTTTAACTTGCTTATTTTATTTTTGCTGCATTCACATTATTCGTAATATAGTGTAGAGTGTTATCTATTATGTGGTGTTAAGTCCAAGAAGACATATACAGAGTGGAATTTACTGAAACCGAAAGAAGGAAAGATGACAGGTAGGACTACATGTATAACCAATATTAATTCACGCGTGACACACACATACAAGTGGCAGGTCTCATGAACAATAAATTTTGTCTTAAATTTTTCATCTGTGTTCTAGTTCTGAATTTCAGTGTTTTATTGGTAAATATCCTTGTACATGTATTGCAGGAAAAATAAAATATGCCTTTTTTAAGGCATATTAGCATATCACATTGTTTGGCCTTTTTAATTTTTACGAAGATTTTTCTGAAAAAAATGCGAGTTGAATTTATTGCTTAGGCTGGACAGGGGTTAATTGAATTTGCAGTGAAGGCAATGTTATTGCACCACGTTAAATTAACGTTAGTGCTTGACAACTGTTTGTGTTCTTGTATTATAGTGAGTGGGCCTACACTAACCTGAGGCTGAATGATCTTACACTGGTTGCTGTCAAATGTCATAATGTGTCCCCCAGTCAAAGCTGGCACTAAGTTTCCTAAGTTTAGCCTGGGCTTACCAAACCAAAGTCTAAGTATGCAGGTACAAAAACTGTGCTGTTCTTACGCTTCAAAAACGGCACCATGGGCATGGAGCTAAGCAAGCTTAGGCCTAGCCTTGGCCTGTGTTAAATACACACGAAGAAAACCGTGACACATGAACAGCTTGAGCGGAAAAAAAGAAGGAACAAAATGTTAAATATAATTCATAAATTACCTCTCTTTATTTTGGGGAATCTGAAAAAAGGACAACTCTGGGCTTTTGCACTGCCCATTGCTGCATTGAGGTGCCGGACAGTGGACAGAGGATGGCGAATCTCACTTGCTGACACATGCTTTGACACATCCAGGAACATTTGGAAACTTTGCTTACTCGAATGGCCGCCGCAGCATCACGTAGCCGATTACACTTTCTGGCGGTCAGTGATCCATCTTGCGCCGCTGCGCGGCGATATATTATCATTGCTATTAGCACTGTAAACCAATAGCCCACTTCTGATTTTGACAGGAAGGAAGGGTCAAGTGAATTAACCCACATGAGAGGAATTGAAGACCCAATTTTATTCTGCCACTCGCCGCAAAAAGAGTGTTTCGGGAGGCTACGGTTGATTTTAACAACATTCAAAGTTTAATAATAACTCACTTGATGACGTCATCGTGACGTAATTATTTTTAGTACTATCTTTGCTTCGTTGTCTTTCCTTGGTGTTCATTTCATGACATTTGAATATTTCTGAACAGTCAAATGTTGCCTTGAAAACTTGTACAAATCCAAGGGATTAAGAAAAAATTGAAAAATCAATTAAAATAAAATCACTTGATGATGTCATCATGACGTCATTTTCAAGGACCATCTGTGCATCATGGTCCTTTATTGGTACAAGTTTGATGAGGATCCAAGGCTGGAAAAGCACTAAAGTCGTGTACAGAATAAAGTGTACAAAACAAATGGACTTTTGAGCACAAGAAGAGGAAGAACTAGACGTGCTGATTGTCCAAGAACAACGCAAAGCGGCTTTTTTGCGTTTTATATTTGAAAAGATTATACTTTGATTTGTTCATGAGTACAATTTCAATTTGATTTGAACGATACTTATGTATTTGTTACTTATTGGTAACAACATGTAACTATTCTCTTTTGTATATCATCCGTTCTAAATGTTAAAGATTACAGATTTTAAACATTTGTCTGTTTTGGCGGTCCATACCATGTGATCTGCTCTCGGCACCACATGCTTGGCATGTCGGCAGGTCCAGAGTATATGCCCTAAGCACTGTGCGCTGCCTGCCACACGTATCAGCTAAATATTGCGCGTCCACGTACACAGCAGTCAATGCACAGCATTGCAAATATTGTAAGGGAGTTTTCGTTGTCGGCGCTTCATCTGTGTGAAGAAGTACACCACTTATGCGCTTCACGCCGTTAAAAGCAAGCTGATACCTATTGCGACTTTTAAACAATAAGCCTACTTCCGGTTTCTACCGGAACAAAGGGTCTCTTGATTTGACCCACCCGAGATGAAACGAAGACCAAATTTAACCTTGGCACGTGCGGCAAATAGAATTTTGTGGGAAACCATAGTTGATTTTTATATTGATTTTAAAATATTTAACATGATATTTAAGTATTCAAAAATTAATCGTAAATCACTTGATGACGTCCTTTTGACAAAATTATTTAAGAATTATCTTTGCTTCGAGGTTTTTCCTCAGTGTAACTTTGATGACATTTGAATATTGCTGAACAACCAAAATGTTTGCTTGAAAACATGTAAAAAGTCAATGGGCTTAAAAAAATACTGAAAAATCAACAATAAATAGTTTGATGACATCCTCATGACGTCCTGTTTCTAGGACCATCTATGCATAACGGTCTTCATTGGTACAAGTTTGATGAAGATCTAAAGTTGGAAACTTGGCAGAGTCGTGTAGAGAAAAAAAGTGCAAAAAGTGCAAAAAGGTTTTGCGCAGAAGACGAAGAAAAACGAGAGCTTCTATGTCTGTTTGCAACAGAATATAGGGCTTTTCGCTTTTCATTGAAAAGGCCATTGTTGTGATTGCATATCTGCAAAATTTCATCCAGCTGGGACATACACCTTTGAAGATATAAGGTTTTAAATGATACACCATTAATGTCACATAACTTGTTTACAGATGACGTCATCGTCCCATGAGGTCAATTTTCGTCACACACATCCCCATCCAGATATCTGCTAACTTTCAACACGCTGGGCCGTGTCCTTTTGGAGATACAGGGCCTTAAAGAGTGCACATATAATGTCACGTGCCTTTTGTCCTGATGACGTCATCATCAGGTAAGTTCAATATACCTCTAAAGCACTCCCGTTTCAAGAAATCTGCAAGATTTGAGCCCCATCAGACACGTACCTCAGGAGATATAGGGCTTTGAAGTGTGCAGTTTTAATGTCACATGACGTTTCTCCTGAAAACGGCATCATCACATTAAGTCAAAACTCATCCAAAGCACTCTGTCACAAGTGAAGGAAATTTACTTATTTCACTGCCACGTTTTATTTATTAGTATATTTTTCTGTGTGTTAATTATCTTCGCCTGTTTGAGCAATTAGTCTGCCCTAATAGCATAGTAAGCGTTAGATCTTAGACATGTAAATGAGTATTATGTAAATTCAGATTTGGTTGAGTGATTCTGTTTAAAAGGTCTACATATAGAGCCTTGTGCATACCCAAGGCACTGCTGTATAAGCCTTCAGGGTGTGCAGTCACCAAATATTCCTGTGTGGAATTGTGTGTGGTTCTGTGTGTACCAGGGCGTGGCCCAACCTAAAAAGCCAGTTTTAATAGAAAGTGTAAGTTATTTTGTTTAATATGTAACTAAGAGTATTAACAGGATAGCTTGTGACAAATTACCTGGAATGTTTTTGCAGGTCACAAACATCATAAGTGTAAAATTGGGATTGGCATTTTGTAATTTGATAAGTTCTCATGAGGGGTATTTCTCTCTAGGGATCGAGATTGGAAATAATTTTCATTTTCCGAACTGGATGTGGACTTATTTTAGAAAAAGAATTATGCCTTGTTTTAAAGGGCTTTTCCCGCTGAGGAGCTACCCGAAGACAGGGTTCTTGGTCTTTGGTGGACTCGTGTTGAAATATTCTTGACAACCTGTTTCCGATGTGAAGTGAGTCGGGAGCAATACCACACTGGACCCAACTGTCTTCAATCCGGTGTGTGATAAGTACCTGTCTTTGTTGGACAAGCCCGTTCAACTGGTTACCAACTCACACATATTTACCTGTGGCCAAGGACAGTGTCCAGATCGGTACGTTATTCTGGCATTGCCGTCTGCCCAGTGAGTGAACAGTTATCAGTCAATATTATCTTTGTTTTATAGTCAGTGCTTGCTGTAATTTTGACAACAATCAAGTATTACTAAAGTACCAAATTAGTGCCTCGAAAACGTGTATAAATATTGAAAAATCAATAATAAATCACTTGATGACGTCATCATGACGTCACTCTTCAGCGTACATGTATGCAAGAATGACTATGCCTAGGTCAATTTTGAATGCTTTGCGACAAAGATTAATTGCAAAAGTCCTGCAGGAATAAACGTGTGAAAAGTCTACGGCCACCCCCCCCCAAAAAAAAAAACAATCCTGATGATTACAAAGGCTTTTTCGCTAAATTGCGAAAAAGCCAAAAAAAAAAAAAAAAT